GCTGTCAAATAATAAATCAGCCAAGTTTATGCGCACTCGAGGTGATTATAGATTAATGTCACGTGGTTTTGAAACACCTTTGTGCTCATATCTTCAGTTACTGAGAGTCAAATAAAATAATAAAAGGCATTTCTTTTGAAGGGTTGCACATCGCCTGATGTCTTTGATGATAGAGTTTTGAAATAAGATAATCTTGCAAAGAGAAAGAATGGAGTTGTAACTATTTTTGGTCAAATCCTGAAAATAATGTTATGTTTCATAATTTTGCAGACAGGATTAGTACATTGGTTTATAAACAAAAGAATGTCTTAAATGCTGCACTATAGGGATCAGAAACAGGAGTGTAAACATGGGGAAACACTGAGCAAGAGAAACAGTCTTTTAAAGCCAGATCGGAAATCTAAAAAGAAACGAAGTAAAAATCTTTTATATAACGGCTCCCTAGAAAAAAATCCAGAGGGGCTTCAAGGAGATGTACAGATGGATGTCATCTGCATAAAGATGGTCGTAAATTATTAAAAGAACTCAGGATGGCCGAAGAGGGAGCAGATAGAGGGGGAACAGTAGAGGCTCAAACACAGAACCTTGTAGGACACCATGGGTGAGGGAGGTGGTGGAGGACAGAAACTTGGAGACAGCCACAGAGAAGAATCGCTCGGACAAATAAGAAGAGAGCTGTGCTCAAACATTACTTCTGCAGAGGGGAGCATCCCAGGGAATCACCAAACCACAGAGGAAAAGCCCTACCTAACTGCTAATGCACTCTCAGCCTGGGTGTTTACCTCAAAAAATGACTGTGTAAGCAACTTATTCACCATCCCAAACCTCGCTTCCTTCTCTTCCCAAAGTTTGCTCAGCCTCTGCTCTAATCACGAGCAAGCACATTCCAGCAGAAATGAAGCGGGCCATGAAAATGAGCTTGCCAGGTTTCAGGAATTTCATTACAGGCAACAGGCAGCTGATGTTTTCACACAGGAAAACTTAGCTTGTCATAATTTCTCATTTACCCTGCATCTTCAATCACAGAATATATTTAAATAAATAAATAAACTGCATCTGTCATTTCACCAAAAGAACATTGTGAAATAACTGCAGAGGTTTGTCACTACAGTGCATGCAGTAAAGTATTTTTGGGCCATTCCACCGAATGGGTGCCATTTCCATCCATTACCGTCCCCAGGAGGTTTTTTGAATCAAGGTGCATGAAAATTTACGGGTAAATAATTTTTGTTATTAAACAAAAGGTCCTGCATAAGTATCTGAATGTAAATTTAACATTAATCTTGGGCAAGAATAATAGAAAGTACTTTGAACACTGAAAAAACATTTCAGTGCATGTATTTTTCACCTGTCCCTGATCTTTAACATTACTCTTAGAGTGAAATATAATTAATAAAATCCCCCCAAATTTATCTTTTTTTTGCATTTTTGCGTGACTCTATATCCTGTCTATGTTTCACAAATATTTTTTTCAAAACAATTTTATACTTTATTTGTTAAAATACACATTTTAGTTGTGTCCCTAGGTTTACACTCAGTCCTGTTACCCAAATACATTACCCCATCTGTTTTATTTTGACAATTCCAAAGGTGACCCATACAACAGGAAGTTGCATCATAAGGATCTTCAAAAGGCCATGGGAAGACCAAAAGTAAGTTCTCTCATTCATTTTTCTGTCTATTTAATAATATATTAGCTGTAAATGACGAGGTCAATCTCAACATACTGTCCTGTTACTTTAATTATATCTTACTTACCATTTGTTTATTTTAAAAATACACATTTTTGGTAAATCACTAGATTGTGCTTTATGTCCTCATGCTATTAGCAACGATGTGATGTGGCTATATTTGGTGTATTTGCTAACTCTATGCTAAAAACTCAGTCCTGTTACTTTCAGTCCTGTTACCCATATGAGAAGTAACAGGACTGAGTAATGGTAACAGGGCTGAGTAGAGTTCATTGATGAAGTGATAATTTTTTAGATAGAATATATTATTATTTTACACTATTGAATTGATTTTATTTATTTATTATTTTACTTTTACACTTGACATTGCAGAGGTTGTGATCTAAGATCAGTTTTGTAATGTGACTTTAATGCTTGCAGGGAGCAAAGCCACCACATAGTGCTGCAGAAAAGCAGCGGCTCTATCGGGCTCGACGTGATGCCGACCCAGAGCGGAGGGAAAGATATCTTGAGAGGGAAAAAAGAAAATACAGGGAGGACTTAGAATCAGGCAAGAAGAAAACAATTGACCAACTAAGTGAGAGAGAAAAGCGCAGACGACGCAAAAAGTGGAGGGAGACATACCATACAATCAAAGACAGAAAAAAAGTTCAGCAGTACCTTGTGACCCCTCCAGACATACCCCAACTCTCACCAGAGCAAGCTATAGATCCACAACCAAGAACTTCCCGGTCCAATTTATGAAATTGATATCCATCTGTTTATACAATATAATAACATTAATTTGTAACATCTGAAATATGTAAATAAGTGCTATTTTGACATGTTTCTTCTAGGCAATGTGATCAGGGGCGGAGAAGACGACGAAAAACACTAAAGAACCTTGAAAAACAAATTCATCAACTACAAGGCCTATTGAGGAAACAAACGCAGAAAACAGAAAAATACAAGAAAAAAGTCCAGCGCATGACAAAGAAAGTCCTAAAAAAGAAGACAAAAGAAACTGAGTCTCCACGCACAAAAGTTAAAAGACAGATGACACAGCTTCCACCAGCAGCCATTCAAAAAACTCTTCTGTTTCATGAGGCTCTGGTGGACGGCATCCGAAACAAATACAGAAAAGCACAGGGGGGAAAAAAAAGGCAAATAATTGCAAAAGTACTAACAGGAAAAGTCCTTAAAAAGTACAGATTGCAACGCTTGGCTCAAAACTCATTAGGATTTTCAAAGAAAAGATGGAGGAATGATGAGAATGTCAACTACAGCTACCAACGGAAGCGGAACAGCAGGGTTCCAGATAGTTTGACAAGTAGAGTGAGAGCTTTCTACACAAGGGATGATGTTAGTCATATCACAACAGGGAAGAGACAGACCATCACTTGGAAGAAAACTAAAAAGCAGAAACGGTTCCTTTTGGATACCATGAAAAATTTGCACATGAAGTTTTTAGCTGAAGAGCAAAGCTCCATCTCTTACTCACTCTTCTGTTTGCTTCGTCCTTTCTGGGTTATTCATCCAACTCTGAGTGATCGGGACACATGCATGTGCAAGATGCATGAGAATCTGGGTTTTATTGTGCAGAAGCTGCACCACTTGAAAGTGATCAGCACTATCAACCTGGAAGATCTTGTGAAAACCATCGCATGCGACACAGAAAACATGAAGTGCATGTATGGAGAATGCTCTGAGTGCAAGAATCTATGCTGCCCAGTCTCCTCCAAGTACAATCCAGAGAGTCAAGAGACATATCTCCAATGGGCAATAGTGGATAAAGAGCATAACAATGACCCCAGTGGCAAAACATCTAAAATCACAATCAAACAAGAATCCCAGGCAACACAAGAAGAACTTCTGGACCAGCTGAACCTGCTGCTGCATAGGTTTAAGAGACATTCTTATAACATCAAGAATCAGTTTACCCACTACAGGGCACTGAGACAGGGCTTGAAGTCACATTAATGTTTAATTCACGTTGACTTCTCTGAAAATTACGTCTGCAAGTACAGCACAGAAATACAGGCTGTCCACTTTGGAGCATCACACCAGCAGGCAACACTGCACACAGGTGTGCTTTATGTGAACACATCCTCCTGCCCTATGTCCTTCTGCACAGTGTCCCCCTCAAGACTGAAGGGTCCACCAGCAATCTGGCAGCATTTGTCACCAGTCCTTGATTATGTGCATATGGCACATCCAGAGGTCTCCACAATCCATTTTTACAGTGATGGCCCATGCACTCAGTATAGACACGTTTTGTACTGAGCTGTTCAAACAAGGATTCACTGCTGGAACATGGAACTTCTTTGAGGCGAGCCATGGGAAGTGGGCACCAGATGGTGTAGGAGGAGCTCTGAAGAGGAGAGCCGACAGTCTGGTCAGCAAAGAAAAGGCCACACAAAGCCCCTGTAGCACATGTGCCCCGTGTTCATTGGTCATTCCTGTTACCCTCTGTTCATTCCTGTTACAGCTTGTTCATTTCTGTTACTCAGTTGTTTGTCTGTAAAAAAACAATAAAAATGAACTTATTTTTTCAATCATATTTGTTCCACCATTTATTAAATAGTTTACTGAATTACATTAGAATAAATTTTATTAACTAGAGCCCTGTGTCTCCTTGAAATGAAAAATATGGCTTTTGATCTTTCAAAAAATTACAACTTTTGTATGTTCATGTGAATTTTTTTATAACAAACATTAAATATTTGAACTTAAAACTAACCTTTTTATTAAAATAAACACTTTCTTGAGGGGAAAATGAAGGAATTAGTTGACAGTCTTCTATATGTGCTTTTTAAGAAGTTACATGAGTTTTGGTAACAGGACTGAAAATAAAGCAAACACGTTCATCTAAAAAAACATGTAAAAAATTAATTAAAGGCATTTAAGATTGACCAATGATCATTTGAAATAGTTAAATAAGTGTGTTACTAGATTTACTTTTGAAAATTGCATTAAAACCCAGTTTAATTTGATGCACTTGCATAAAATAAATGGCACCTATTCGGTGGAATTACCCTTTTAAGTCTCCACAGAGCACATTGTGACCCAGTTCCATCAGGACAAGTGAGTTATAATGCTGAAAAGAGTAAAGTTCCCTCTGCATTGTTGCTTTTGCACTTAAAATTCCTGCAAGTGTCCTACTTCCAAGTTATGTAATCATGATTTATGTTGCATCCTGCTTTGTAAATATTATGTGTGTGTGTGTGTGTGTGTGTGTGTGTGTGTGTGTGTGTGTGTGTGTGTGTGTGTGTGTGTGTGTGTGTGTGTGTGTGTGTGTGTGTGTGTGTGTGTGTGTGTGTTCAACAGCAGGCGCCACGGTGGCATATAGATCTGCAGCCGTGGGCCAGCGAGAGCCGATCTCTGGAGGATGAAGCCAAAAGGTTCCTCAGCTATATCACAACCTTACAAGTGAGTCATCATTTAAACACACTCTGCTTCAGTTGTATACAATGTTTTTAATAATTAAATGTTATCTCGCCACTATGCTGCCAATAAGAGGATGTAGATTACTCCTCAGTCTTTACTTACATGTTTACATAATTGCAATTGAACGGGATATAATACTGAAACTTTCTTGAAATCACGTCTCAAGATGTGGTTGTTAAAAAAAAGCACATTTCATTGTCAGAGACGTTAGGAATTTTCTTTTTAAAACAAAAGCTGAACCTAGATAGTCCTCAAGTCTTTTTCAGAGTTTTTTTTAAGTTTAAAATAAAACTATTGCTTGGATATCTAAGTATCCTGACCAACAAACACAGAATGCTAACCGCTCAAAGGTATGTCCTCTAAAAAGGATCACAGTCATTCCTATTTAAAAGGTAAATGTAGTCACAGTGCTGTTTGGTTTCTGGGTGTGTGCCACACTGAATAAGAACGATAGACGGACATGACTGCTTCTCAACAAATCAGAAAGACAGTCCTTGAGTTGGAAAAGGGTCGAATGCCTTCTCCCGGTCAGGGATGTGATCCTACCACAATTGGAGAAGTTTAAGTATCTTGGGGTCTTGTTCACAACGAACGAGAGGAAGATGGAACGCAAGATTGATAGACGGATTGGTGCTGCGTCTGCAGTGATGCGGGCGTTGTACCGGTCCGTCGTGGTGAAGAGAGATTTACCGGTCAACCTACAATCCAACCCTCACAGATGCTCACGAGCTTTGGGTAGTGAGCGAATGAATGAGATTGCAGATTCAAGCGGCCAAAATGAGTTTTCTATCTACAGGGTGTCGGGGTTTTCCTTGAGATAGGGTGAGAAGCTCGATCATCCGGGAGGGGCTGGAGTAGACCCGCTGCTCCTCCATATCAAGAGGAGCCAGTTGAAGTGGCATCTGGTTAGGATGCGTCCTGGACGCCTCCCTGGTGAGATTTTCTGGGCACCCCCAACTGGGAGGAGAACCAACCTTGCAAACAGCCAATGTTGCATGGACATGTCTATTTTGGGTTCAGAGGTCCAGACCATGTGTGTAGGATGTCCTAACTAGGTCTTTGCACAGCGGGAAAGGAAGACCCCAAGACACGCTGGAAGGTCTATGTTTCTCGGCCAACAGTAGACACCCTTGTTAAAAGCTAATCATGACTGGAATTTAAGAAAAAGCAAGCAAGCTTCTGGGGAAGATGTCCAATGGAAAAATGAGACAAAGCTTCAGGTTTTTGGCCAAACATGTCAGCTCTGTGTTTAATGCGAATCTATGTCAAGCAGTGTGGAAGGATGCCTCCAGACAGAGTGGAGGAGTGTAGGGGTAAGCTGAAATATCCTTCAACAGGTGTACATGTCTCATTGAGGCCTAGTCCACACGTAGCCGGGGTTTTTTAAAAACTAATATCCGCCCCTCCAAAAACTTGCATCCACACCACCGCGTTTTAAAAGCAAACTCTGTCCACACGTACCCGGATAAATACTTTGTTAAGGACATGCCAGACCTGTAGGCAGCAGTACTTCCCCCGTTCTTAACCTCGTCCTTTGTCTGTGGTCTTCCGCAAGGAGCAGTAATTCCACTTGCAAAAACAAACAAGTAGAAAGCGCTTGGAATATTGATGGATCGGGTAGTGACAGAGCGCAGCTCTGAGGGCATCCATGACGCCGGCTAGTGTAAACACAGGTCGCACACGTGATGTCAGCATTTTTTTGTCGCGGAAAGTGACGTTGCGGACCTTAAAACTCCGGTTTTGTCTGTCCACACACAGACACCCAAAACGGAGAAAACGCAGATCTTCACTTTGGCCGGAGTTTTTAAAAAGATCCGTTTTTGTGTGAAAAAACTCCGTTTTTGTGTGGATGACAGGCCAAAACATAGAAAAATATCTACGTTTTGGCAGATCCCCAGCTACGTGTGGACAGGGCCTGAGTTACAGAAATCATTCAGAAAAGACTAATTTCCAAAACAGAACCCTTAGAGTCCACTTTAGAAACAACAGAATGAAGTCATATCTCTGAGCCCATCATTAAAATAGACTTGGATCTTATTTACATTCCACTCAGGAAGAGCGTTAGTTCTGCTCATCGGCGCTGTATAATTCATTATTCTATTGATTACAACACAGATGGACCTCACAGCAGATCTGTTCTGACCAAATCGATGCACTGCGATGGTTTTGCTTCTTGGTTTGTTTCAGCATTAATTACTGCGAGTCGATTGAGATGTTCTGCGTCATAATTTAAAGATGAAATATTAAGGGACAGAGAGTGTCATTCCCATCATACACCCACAGAGGGAGTTTAGTTTGCATTGTCTGAAAAATAGTCTGGGGTTGTTTTTGTAACGTACCGCGTGTGCTTTGGTTCTATAATGAAACTGGCTTGGGGATAAATCTGCATCTTATCTGTTTTCCTTTCTCACCACGCAGCAGAACAAAGAGTCCTCTGCTCCAAATGACTGAGCATCACCATGTGTCTCTTACAAAGTGAAGCTTCGGCTCGTAATGACTTTGTATGTGTGTGTGTGTGTGTGTGTGAGAGAGAGAGAGAGAGAGAGAGAGAGAGAGAGAGAGAGAGAGAGAGAGAGAGAGAGAGAGAGAGAGAGAGAGAGAGAGAGAGAGAGAGAGAGAGAGAGAGAGAGAGAGAGAGAGAGAGAGAGAGAGAGAGAGAGAGAGAGAGAGAGAGAGAGGGACAAGGACAAGGACAAGGACAAGGACAGGCAGGAAGATGGTGTGTGTTTGTGGGAAGCAGTGAAAGGGAAACTGTCCATCAGTGACAGTGACAGGCGAGGCTGGAAGGAGTCTGTGTGGGAATCACAGCATCCTCGGCTGTAATGCTGACTGACACGGTGTCTGGTGGAAGTGTTCCCACATAGAGACGGCCAGTGACATGACTGTCCAATCACTGGCAGCCAGCATCTTCCATGCACGCATACACACATGTAGTTCAGAAGTGTTTCAACATCTTAAACCGAAATGCATAGAAGATATGAGGAGTCGATTGGAAAATAATACAGCCCCAAAAAATAAATAAATAGAAATAAAAATACAGCTGAATTTGTCCAAATTTAGCTTCACATAATAATGTTTTTGAAAGAAAATCTATACTTGCAAAGTGAAACCCTAATTATGTTTTAATTACTATGAAATGAATAAAGTTAAAGTAAGCGTTTACTATGCAATCTAAATACACAAAGATAACCGGAGTATGTACACATCTGTCACTGAATCTGCTTCCCATTTGCATAAAGGAATTCTGAGAAGAAGAAAAAAGAATTCTGATATTAAAGTCGGAGATAGGGTGAGGAGCTCGGACATTCGGGAGGGACTCGGAGTAGAACCGCTGCTCCTCCGGATCGAAAGGAGCCAGTTGAGGTGGTTTGGGCATCTGGTCAGGATGCCTCCTGGACGCCTCCCCGGGGAGGTGTTTCGGGCATGTCCTGCCGGCAGGAGGCCCCCGGGTCGACCCAGGACACGTTGGAGAGGTTACATCTCCAATCTGGTCCGGGAACGCCTTGGGGTCCTGCCGGAGGAGCTGGTGGACAAGGCCGGGGAGAGGACGGCCTGGAGCTCCCTAATTGGGATGCTGCCCCTGCGACCCGGACCCGGATAAGCGGAGGAAGACGAAGATGACGAAGACGAAGACATTTTTTCTTATTTTTAGTGGCCGTAATCCTATTACATACATTAGAAGTGAGTCTGACGGTACAATTTTAAATATAAATACTCAGAATAAAACCAACACATTTGTTGAGGGTGGGTGACACCGAGTGCTCCACAGCAACAGAGAGGCCCGGCTGCTTCACTGCAGCTTTTCCTTTCTTAACTGGATTCCGGAGGTAGTTTCTAACTTTTGGGAAGCGGAATTTTATCGGGAGATTATTCCCTTACGTTGCGTCATTGACACCTGCAGTTGGGTGTTCTCATATTCGCTCTGCGTATGTAGCGTTGTTAGCTCGCTAATTTAGACAATAGGTTGATGCACCGAAAGCATTAATTACTGTCACTAACAACCCCCCGTACTGTCCGTCTGCACTCCCCACCCCACCGGAGGTACCAAATCATTTTGAGTTTTACTCAAATACAAATACCGGTGATCCCTCGTTTATCACGGTAGATGCGTTCCAAACCTGGCCGTGATAGGTGAAAATCCGCGAAGTAGGGACACCATATTTACAGTATTTATTTAACAGGTACGTATTCAGTATTCAGACCCTCCCTTTACATAGTACTGTATTTTTACTTGTTTTTTTATAGTTTTATTACAAAAAGTGTATTTTATGATTAAATTGATGAAAAAAAACAGGAATTTCTTGATATTTCGCATAGAAAAATACCGCGAATCGGTGAAAAATACCGCAAATCTGCGAATTTCCCTTGAATAAGGCTCCAAAGAAAAAATCCGCGAAGTCATGAATCCGCAATAAACGAACCGCGAAGTAGCGAGGGATCACTGTACCCCACCCCCCCAACAAATACAGATACAACTTTACACATTTAGATTTGACTTTAAATAAATATTTTAAACATTAATATGATGGTCATCAACATTGCATTCTTGTTTATTTATCATGAAATAGCAATTTAATTTTCTAAATAAGTAAAAGTTTTTAAAAAACAACAACATTTAATTTTCTTTTTGCTTTACAAACGGTGCCCCATGGTAACGGCCGATCTGCCATTCACCTTGATGAAGTTAATTTCAGTGTAGCAACAGTCATCAGCTGAGAGCATTTTAGAGTTAGTTGCATTCTGACATAACAAACATAACAGAGCAATGTTCAAATATGAACGTTTTTTTTTAATGTTGCGACAACTCTGCATGATCCCAATAATTGTTGTGCAACCAGCGCTTTACCAGGCTTATACCTTCATCAGTGTTTGGAGTCAGATTCATACAGAAAGCTTTCTTAAAGCTGCGGAAACAATGTGCGTGCTATAAATGCTGATTTTAAAGTGAATAATAGATGTGATTTTCTACGAGGCTGTCATGAGGAAGCACCAATCACTCGTTTTTAGCCGTTTATCCCTGCAAAAACCGTGTGGACTTAAGACTAATGACACAATGGAGAGCAGAGGAGCACTAAAATACACACCTGCTCTTGTGTTTGTGCTTTAATGATATTATACTATATACAGTAATAACAATGGCTTATTGCATCATGTCTGGGTCAATATTGTTCATCTTTCTGCAAACAGACGCTGACATAGATCAAAGAAATCCGACTGCAAAATTCTGAGCATTGACCCCTGTGCTAAACAGTAGTAATTAACACATTTGGTTATATGTAACACAAAAACAAGCACTTTCTTAGTAGATGTAAAAGTCTGCATCGTCCCTGACATTTTTTTCCAAGAAGCCAGATTTTCTAATATATTTATAATTTCTCTAAAGTGTTTCTTCATCATTCGGCCTCTTTTTGAATAATTTTCAGGAAAACCAAATAGCAATATTTTTGTTTTTGTCGTATGTTTGTTTTATCTGTGTGCAAGTTGCCCCCAGTGCTTTGCCTCCAGCTGTTTGTCGTGTTGAATATTCAACTTAATGTGTTCTAACACTGGAGGTCAAACTCGTTCTAGCTGAGGGTCAAGTCCTGTAGCTTTTCAGTGGTAAAATAGCTTTGATTTTGCTCATCCAACCAGGACAAATCAGAGTCAAACCAGCTGTTTGAAGCTCAACAAGGACTCAGTTAGCTCTCGCTCATACACACACACACACGCGTACACTCACACACACAACAACAGCAATGCAGAACCAATCTTTTATGCATAACCAAAAACTCTGCTGTTCTCTTCATGACTTATGCAATGGCTCAGTAAGAAGATTTGAATTTTTGAAGAATCTTCTCCTGCTGAGCACTCGCAGATCTTTTATGTTAGACTCAATAGTCACAACTCAGTGAAACTAATTTCTCAACCAAAACAATCTCAAAACAGCTACTGTTACATGTGTATGTTGTGTTTTCGTGTGCTTAGGTGCCGTGTGATTCCTTGGCTATTAAGGAGGATGCAGCAGACCTGTCCTCTGGTGACTGGGCCGTGTGTCTGGACCCGAAGCACAGCCTGATACACAGAATACAGAACAAGCACTGCAGGGTCTACTCCTTTGGGTGAGTGAGTACAGTCTGATGCAGACAGAACATTACATTTGGAGATAATGTTTTTTTCTTTTTTGGTGCCTGTGTGTGGTGGTTAGCAAAGTATCGCACTAACCACCAGACAGATGAGATTTCTTTCTCAGAAATTAATAATCAAATGTACAGCTACTTCTGATTTTCTTTTGGAGTACACTGCATTCAGTTTGTCTGAAACAACAAAAACATTTACATACATAGAAAATTACTAAACCATTCAGATATTAGACTAAAACCTGAGGGGTCTTGGCAGAGCACTACTGGGATATTTTTTTTTAGACTTTGCTAACGACGTCCTCGATCTAAGTCATGTCTGTTGGTAAAATATCTAATGCAAGGGTGTCAAATATACGTCCCATGGGCCAAACCCAGTCTGCTAAGGGGTTCCATGCGGCCAGCTGGATCCGTTTTCAAAGGAAAAAAATGTATGAAAATATGAGCTCAACATTACTCCACTAGGGGGCGCATATGGCGCTTACACGTTAGCGATGAGGAATAACTAGAAATATCCTGAAGAATTTTTAAAAAGGGACCTGCCACCTCTGCGATGGGCTGGCTCTCTGTCCGGGGTGTACCCCGCCTACTTGCCCGTTGACTGCTGGAGACAGGCACCAGCCCCCCCGCGACCCTATGTGGACTAAGCGGGTTCAAAAGATGGATGGATGGATGGATGGATGGATGGATGGAATGATGGATGGGTGGATGGGTGGATGGATGGAATGATGGATGGATGGATGGATGGATGGATGGATGGATGGATGGATGGATGGATGGATGGATGGATGGACCTGCCACCTAGCACAAGACAGTGCTAATGCAAATGTAAAAAAGGTTTGAAAGGGTAGCTCAATCTGCCCCAAACTGAGACATTTTTCAAAGTTTTTTGCTAATTATTTTGCTATGAGAAATCGGATCGTTTAGAAAAGTAACAGCAGACCTCCCACGGCCAAGCCCCTCATTCTGATGTGTAATTTGTGGGGGTGCACGCTGCTGTTGGAGCCACATTAACGTCCGCAGAAGAATAAAGGCGATTAATGTCAAATTTCCACCCGGTGCATAACAACAAGGGCCCTGCTTGCTGCAGCTGCAGGTCCCTTAACTAGAAAATTCCTGAGGAAATTTTAAAAAGGGTCTTGCGGGTGATGTTGGGGGGAAAAACCCAATATCGTGATATTTGTGTAACATTGGGGGGATCACCCCAAAGTTGTGACATATCACTTTTTCCTCAGTCAAGCCGGTAGTTTTGATGTATTATTTGTGAGGATGCACGCTCCTAATCAAGAGACCATTTCCTCTGGTGAAGAAGAATATGTGGCTACACATGAAGTACGTAGGAGTTTTAACTGGCCTGGCAGATGAAGACATGTACACACCCAAAATGAGAACATTTCCAAAGTTCTTGCTAATTATTTAGCCATGGTAAATCAAAACGCTTACAAAAGTAACAGTTAATAGCAATAGTTTCTCACCCAGTAAAAGGGAAAAAATCAGACACACTAAAATATGTTTTAGAATTAAAAACACCACCCAATAATTTCAAACTGAGAACATTAAAAAACTCCCCAAAAGTAGCTCCTCGTGAATCAGGCCTAATTTCGTTTGTAAAGGTTTATTTTTCCTACATCTTCCCGTTGATGCAGGTTTTCCTTTTTCTCGTCAACAAAAACAGTAAAATATACTAGTAATGGTACTCTCTAATGAAGCAGGGTTTAATTCCCTGTGGCGCCCTGCTGATTGTACTGACAAACAAAAGCATTTTCATTTCATGATGTTTAAATCACAATTCATTCATTACGTTATCAATGTGTGAGCCGTGTTTGCTAATAGCCTCATGAAAATCAATGAACTGTCTTTAATGACAAAATTCAAATATAGTCAACATTCGTATAAACGCCTCGGGAGTTGTTCTCAAAAAGCTGAATTTTAGTGATCAGTAGTAAATATTCTAAACTGTATTTCTTTGTATTGTGGTTACCAAATATAATCTATCAGATTAGCATTGGAAACTGCAACTGGACTTGGGTATTCTGTAGGGATATCTGAGATTATTGACGGATATTGGCATTAAAATGCATTATCGGAAATTATCTGTCAGAAAGGGTTATAGTTATGGCAGTTTTACAAGATCCATTTGTAAAGTTACCCCACTCTTATTTTGGTGGTCCAGTTTGTGACATCACTTCCTCTAGATAGTCACTTCCTGTAAAGCCGTTTCTACCATTTTGTCCAAGCTGTTGGTGATGGCAGACAGCCTCGTGTGCGTTCATGACTGATATACCACACGGAACCACAGAAATGTACAGATGTCCATACTTCAACTGTCATTAAATACGTAAAACTGTCTCTCCGTGCCCTGCTCTCTGACCGGAGCCTGTATCTTGAAGATACTGTCGGATCAGCAAATAACTTCCAGAGTTCCCACTCTATCACATGGTCCTTCGAGCCGGATCCACAGTCATCTAGAGATATTATGGAGGAGCTAGGACAACCATCTGCAGACCCAGCAGTGCGTTCTAGATCCCAGCGGGAGAGACGACTACCAACGTATTTGGAGGACTATGAAGTTGGATATCAACCTCAACTTCTCCATCATCCAGCAGCCCAAGCTCCAGCTGGGCATGAAGCTCATCCTCCAGATCAACCTGCAATGATGACAGCTGCCATCACTGGAGCCATACCTAGCCTACCTAGTAGGAGAGCATCATCAGATCGAAGCCAACCTGTCTCTCAGCGCAGTAAAGCTAAGACCCAGGGCAGCGCCAGTTCGTCAACAAGGAGGTCAATCATCAATGGGTTATCTGACATACAGACAGCCATGTTGGAGGAGAGAATAAAGCGCATGGAGTTGGCAGAGGTGCAAAGACAGATAATGGAGGAAAGTCTGATGGATGAACAGTACCAGCATCTGGACCAGCAAGCTCGGGAAGCCCTCAGAAGAAGAGAGGAACTCCTAAGAGAACAAGAAATACAGAGGCGTAAGCTTGATGAAGAGGCAGAAATAGCATTAAAGGCAAAGGAGGCTATTACCAGACGGCTAATGCTGCAACGTAAACTAAAGGAAAAGGAAATAGAGTTAGAGAAAGCGACTCTCATTACATCCCTCCTGAAGGAGGAAACGAGCAGCTCTGTTGCCTCAAGACCGCAAAGTGGAGATGAATCCAACAAAGGGTCCCCAGCTGACGTCATGGGAGTACCACCACCCTCACAAGGTGCACATGGACCTGCACACTCTGCTCCTACAGTTATTGGCCCTCCACCAGCCTTTACAGCAGCAGTGCCTAATCCTCCTGTCTCAACAAGCCAATTAACAACTAGAGCTTCACCTGTCCTTCAACCGCAACCTCCTGCCATGGTAAACCTGCCGACCCAGCCACAATTCACATACTCCACGATAGCTCCGCCCACCACAGCACATACCATCCCTCAGCCTGGTACGACACTATCAGTTGGTGCTATATTACCTCGTGCTGGACCACCAGCCTTAACAGTGCAGTCCACTGCTCCCCTAAACATGCTACCAGCAGTCTATAACCAGGCTCCACATCAGCATGTACCCTGGTCTTCTTCACAACAACAGCCAGTACAACCTGATGCAGCCCTGCAGCATCACTCTCCTCCCAGCATACCACCTTTGCCACAAGAGACAGCTCCTCCTCCAGGCTCAATCGCTGCACCTAGTACAGACCTAATGGAGCTATTAATAGCTACTTCATATGGACTTCCTAAGCCTGCTTTACCCTACTTCACATCTGGAAGAGAGGCAGACTTTGCACTGCTCAAAATGGCTCTAGATAACCTGCTAAGCTCACATGCTCACCTCACCGAACCATTTAAATATCAATTGTTGTTGCAGCATTTGAAGCTGCCTAGTGCTCACAAGCTAGCACAAGCCTTTATGTATGACCCGAAACCATACACATCGGCCCTACAGGCACTTCAAGATAAATACGGGCAACCCCGCCAGCTTGTGCAAAGTGAGCTAGGAGCCATCCTAAACTTACCTCCAGTTAGGTTTGGTGATCCAGATGGATTTGACAATTTTGCCCTCTCAGTACAAGCTTTAGTAGGCATGCTCCGATCGCTAAGGGTGAAAATGGCTACGAACTTAAATGTGGCTCTCATGTTGATAGGCTACTTAACAAATTGCCCGCTAACTATAGAGACAGCTTTGTTGAGTATAGCTTGAACCGTGGCATTCTGACAACTGGGACTGATAAGACTTATACCCTGTCAGATTTCTCCACATGGCTCCAGTTGAAATCACAAGCCAAGCGAATCGCCGCTAGAGCAGCGTACATGTGTCAAGATCAACCAAAGCTGAGGAATCAGAAGAAACCTCAGGGTCCTTCATCCAACGTGTACTACAACACAGAGAGCCTGGCTAAAGCCACACCTCCAGATCCAGCTGGCCATATAAGATCACCTAAGCCTAAATCAGGTCCTAAACCTTACTGCCCTTATTGTGACAACAGAGGACATTACCTGAGCCTGTGTCCTAAATTCAAAGCTCTTTCAGCAGCTGAAATTGCCACATGGATCAAACACAGAAGCTGCTGGCGCTGCGGCAGGAATCATGCACCTGAGGATTGCACTCTAAAGAAGCCCTGTAAATTATGTAAGCAACAACATCTTACTGTGCTCCATGATGTGTGCCCTCAAGAACCGAAGAAGGTGTTAATGGTCAACGCTGCTTCCAAGACAGTGTACATCGACCGTCCAAACCGCCCAAATAAAGTCATGCTCAAGTTGGTCAAAGTATGTCTACAAAATGCTGAGTATTCCCTGGAAGGCTTTGCTATCCTCGATGACGGGTCCGAGAGGACTCTTATCCTCCCATCAGCAGTGCGACGCCTCCATCTGACTAAAGAGCCTGAAAACCTTCCCCTGCGCACTGTCCGCCATGAGGTGATTCACCTTCAGGGAGCAACAGTTTCATTTGAAGTATCTCCAGTTCACACTCCCAAAGTAAGGTACAG